AGCTCAACAACTGACGTCATGCAAGGGAATATGATGATTTCACAGAGAAGACTTTTACTTCCGTCTGAAGAAATCGGTCCGACGGACTCGTGATTCGGCTGTCTTGGATGTGCGACTGCTTCTTTTGCCAGCAGATCCTTCAACTTGGATACTTTAGTGCTGACGAGACTAAATAGAAGATATGTAAATCAAGTGTCTAAGAACTGACATCTTTCAATTTCCGAATCCCTTCCGGCCAAGTTTTCGAACAAAATTAAAGTCAAAAAAGGACATACTTTTCGGGATCCAGCTTCTGTGTGTGCATAAGAAGCGGCAGAACTGTACCACAAATCGACTCACCCTTTTCGTTTTGGCGTAGTAAAGGCAAACAAATCCAGCTCCAACGACCACCATCGCCGTGGTGCTGGCCACAATCAGCCAGCCCAATTGGTTCGCCCAATTGGGGTACTGATACTCCAGACCCGAATTGGACAGACTCCAGTTTCCCGAGCGAATCAAGCCGAGCTTCATGGTCTGGTTGTCAACCGGCCGGGCCGCCTCAGCGACAGAATCGCCCATCAAAGTGAAGCCGGCAGCGTGATCCTGAAGCGTGCTCATGAGCTCAGGATGCCGGGTCCCGAAGGCGTAGGTCAACGGTTTGTAGGAGATCAGCTCTGACAACATGATGCACTACAGACGGACAAGAAACAAGTCATCCAAAAGTAGTCACACACCTTTCAGGCACACTTTAGGCTCTGTCCTAAATGGTACCAAATGGACTCATCCTTTTCGCTTTGGCGTATTAAACAAATGTAAAGTGTCGGTTGTGGTACCATTCCTCCTTCTGTCCTGGTACATCTGCCCACGCCTTTCGTACCACAACTTCCGACTTGTGGATATGTTGACATCTTCTGAGCTGTACCCTTTTTGGCGAGTTTGGTATGTGCTGTTTTTTACCCTCTCGCTTCGTTTCAATCTACCAAAATTGCAGATCCGATTTGGATCTCCTTTCCGAATCTGTCTCATGGAGCCGGAAATACGTTTGTTATTCTTGGTTCCAGGCCCCTTTTGTCATGGTTTCTCACACGTACATCAGGGCCTCGGATTCACATACTTTCACACATCCGGTATTGACTTGCCAGGGCATTTCTACCCAATTTGGCACCGAACCATTAATCAAAGTGCCCGACTACTGCGACAATTGTCACTCTCCTCTTCCTGTTCTTGCTACCAACAGGCCGCCACGATGGCTGTCGTTTCTTAGAAACAGACAAAGCCAACTGAAATAACATCTTGACTATCCAACGTTGGTCACGCACTTCCTTCTTGCGATCCCTTGGCCTCTGGTTGAGGATAGGTCCTTGCTCAAATCATCTTGTTTTCTCCCAGTTTTCTTAGACAATAGGCAGTGTTGTGAAGAGAAACTGGGTCTCGAGGATTCCCTCACCAGATTGATATGGGCATAACTTTCATTTCGTTTGTGAAGCCGTTTCGAAAAGAATTCGCTTCAAAACAGAACGGCTTTTATTTGGAACAAATTATGTAATCTTGTAATGTTTTGAAGCGAATTCTTTTCGAAACGGCTTCACAAACGAAATGAAAGTTATGCCAATATCAATCTGGTGAGGGAGTCCTCGAGACCCAATACTGCCTATTGTCTAAGAAAACTGGGAGAAAGCAAGATTATTTGAGCAAGGACCTCCGGATTAAGAGTTTCAGACAAAGAATGCCCACCTTCTCACTAATTCGCCTATCCTCTTCGACGGATTACACAATGGCGGCATACGGATTCTGGTCGAGTGGTCTAACCTTTTATCTAGCCCCAAATATTTATTTCCCGACCCTATTTTCAAAATATTATAAAATAATTATCTCGTCAGTTCCTGCTCCTGATGTACAACATCTACCAGACGTAGGCGCCTTAGTAACATGAACTTCATAACTCCCACTTTAAACCCTTAAGTGTGGTTGGGCAAGAAATTCAAAAAGGAAACCTACATTTGTGGGTTTCCTATACCAATCTCGACCTAATCTGCCTAATCAAGAAAGGATAAATCCCCTTTCTTTTACCAACTCTACGATGAATTGCGTCTTCACATCCACCGTGTGCATCAAACCAAGAAAATTCTCCAGTTTTCTTTGTAATGCTGCCAAACAGAAAAGTAGTCGTGCATAGAACAAACTAATAATTAAAGAATTCAAAGTGCCTCTCGAATTAGTAAAACACACGATTCACAAAAGGCACCAAAAGCGGTAACATTGCAGGA